TAACATTTAGAATCAGAAAGATTCCGATTCCAACACCTTCATCTACTGTTCACATACTTACTACATATAGGATAAAGTGAATGGCCATAATTTCTCTTAAACAGAGAATTTGTTGTTGTTGTTTGATGCCGCCGAGTCGTAGACGACTCATAGCGACCCTATGAATGAACGGCCTGAGCACTGTTCGTAGTACATAGAGTTTCCGGAGGCAAGCCATAGAATAGCTAAAGAAAATGGAAGAAATGATGACCTCAAATAAGTAAATGGAATATTTCAAAGGGCAACCCAAGAAGCAAAGTATTACAGTAAAGTATACAAAGACCTGGAATTAGAAAGTCAAAAGACAAGAATATACCCTACAGTTCTTAACGTGAAAGAACTGAGGGAAAAATTCAAGCTTCGAGTTGCAATCTTGAAGTTTTATTCTATGGGCAAGATAATGAATGATGCCAAAAATAACAAAAGAAGATGTGAGAAACACAAATACACAATCATTGTGCCAAAAACAATTGGTTAACATTAAAGCAATTTTGAGAAGCAACATATGAACAAGAACCAGTGGTACTGAAAAAAGAAATCCAAGTTGCACTGAAGACATTGGGCAAATACAAGGCTTTAATTATTGAGGAGATGCTTCAACAAATCAGTATGATGTTAGAAGCACTCATCTGTGCCAAGAAATATTCAAGACAACTAATGTGACCAATAGACTGGAAGATAGCCATAAATACGTCAATTCCAAATAAAAAAAATTAATATCACATGCAAGTGAACTTGTGCTGAAAATATTTTTAATACAGTTACAGGACTATATCAATAGGGAATTGGCAGAAATCTAAACCAGAAGAGGACATGAAATTAGACATATCATTGCTAATATCACAGAAAGCTTGGTAGAGGATATTAGGAAAAAAATGTTTACTTATATTGACTATGCAAAAACCTTTGACTCTGTAGATCATAAGAATTAAAGGACAACATTGTAAGAAATGGGAATTCCAGAACACTTAGTTGTGTTTTCTTGCAGAGCCTGTACATAGACAAAGAAGTAGTTGTAAAGCGAGAACAAGGAAATATTATAAATTTTAAAATCAGAGATAGTGTTTATCAGAGTATCAGCATGCTTATTCAGTCTGCATGCTGAGTAAAGATTCTGAGAAGCTGAGTTATATGACGAAGAATGTAGCATTTGTATTGGTGGAGGACTAACAATCTGCAATGTACAGACAACACAACCTTGCTTGCTTAAAGTGAAGAAGGTTTGAAGCACTTACTAATTGATCAAGATCAAAACCCACAACGTTTAGCATGGATTACAACTTAACATTAAGCTAAAATGTACAACCAGGCCAGTAAGAAACATCATAAAAAGCAGAGAAAAGATACCACTGTCAAGGATTTAATTTTATTTGCATCCACAGTCAATACACATAGAAGTTGTAGTCAAGAAATTAAAGAACATAAGGTTTCAGGACCACAGGCCTGGGGGACATTAATGTCAGTCGACATAGTATGATCCCCCGAAAAATACATTCTACTTTGCTGAGTAACAACTAGAGCCTTGAAAGCTTGTAAAGAGCCCTTTATTTTTGGTCTCCTTTTGTCCGGACCAAAGAAGTGGGAAGAAAAGCAAAGATGTGCAGAAAAAGTAATTCTAAAGACTGAACTACCAACTTCAACCTCACGGACCATGAAACCGGAAGAGTTAGGTGGTACTCAGCCACCGCTGCTGACCACTCTGAAAGTAATCACAGTAGAAGGTCCTGGGTAAAATGCATGGAAAAAAATATAGAATAAAACTCGAAAATGTAAGACTTACTGAATTGGCAAAGACTGCTAGGACACCCAAGACTATGACCCTTAGTCATTCTTCAAATCTGGAGCTCAACTATTTTATATTTTTATTTATTATAGACAGGTCAATAATATAAATAATATTTGGGAGGCTCTCACAATATTCAACCATGTAAAATCAAAAGGGTAACATTGCCCATGGAAAAGCTTGGAAGGCAGGAAGGAGTAATAAGAAAGGATTAATGAAAAAAAGAATCACCAGCAGGAAGGGGGAAGATGTGGTTACAATGTAGGCATTGTTATTAATTTTGTTTTAAAAAATGTGCATGAATGGTTGAATAGAAACTGAAGCCTTTTTAAATAATTACTCAAATTATGGTAAACATGGGGGAAAGAGATAGCAAAGGACATATTATACTGGGGAAGTCGGTTGCAAAGAACTTTTTTAAAGTTCCAAAGAGCACAGATATCATTTTGAGGACTAAGGTGTACCTGACCCAAACCATGTATTACCTCATATGTATAGTGAAGTTGGATAATGAACAAGAAAGACAGGAAGAATGGATTTGAATTATGAAGTTGGCAAGAATGCTGTACATCTAAATAAAACAGTGAGTTATTTATTTGCCAAGAGAATTTTACCCTCTCCATGTTTTTGTGGATTGTGTCGTTTTTTTTAAAGGAAAGATCCTTATTAATGGCCTTAGTTAACTTAATAGACTATCGATTCCATAATTTAAAAAAAAAAATCACTTACTTTGTGCTTTTAGTCTCAGAGAATACACCACATGGAAACACGAGAAAGAATTTTGCCCACTGACTTTGAGGATGTATCTGAAGCACATTGAACAAGGTCTGATTTGTAGCAGATGTTCCATAAATACCTGCTAAAAGCTGGGGAAATATCACGTTAAACACTTTCCTTATCTTAGAAACTTACAAAATTGCAAGTAATTGTATTCAAATGTCTTGAGATCACATGAAGATTGTATATATTAAGCATTTTGTTTCGGGAGTCTTAGTGGAGCAGCGGTAAGGCAGAAGACCAATAATTGAAAGGTCACCAGCCTTCCGCCTGAGAAAGACGTAGCCGTCTGCTTCCACAAAGTTTTACATCCTTGGAAACAGTCGTAGGGGGTCATTTTTAAATTAAAGTCTACTTGGTAGCAGTGGGGTTAAAAAAATCTTTTCGAAGCATTATGTTTATGAGAGCAGGTCTAACATCTAACATTCTTGGTTTGATTTTTAATGCTGGCCCTAAATTTAATAAATTTCTCCATACCTCAGCCTCCCCTTTGAAAAATGGCTATAACGCCGCCTAACAATATTGTTGTGATTAAACGTCTATAAAAGTTTCTTCCATAAACACACAATATATGTTGAGTATTTTTATTATCACCTAAGATCTTGCTGAGGGAAGTAGAGGTTTATAAGGCAAATGAGGGCGCTCTGGTGGCCTACTGGTAAAAAGCTGCGCTGCAATCCCAAAGGCACATTGGGCCACCAGCTGCTCCTTGGGAGGGAAGGTAATCTCCTCCTGAGCAATTAACTGCCTCTGAAAGCCTGCTGGAGGGTCAGCTACGGGTCAGTTGCAACTCAGTGGTACATAATAACAACATTACAATAGGGGTGGAAAAGGAAAGGAGTATATAGTTCATCCTAACTTGCAAAAGCTTTTTAAAATGCAAGACTCACGATCCTTCCAGGAAATAATAACAAAACCTTGAACAGATGCTGTAGGATGTATTTAATAAAAGTTTCCATCCTCCAAGTTAACCAAACTTGTGCAAAAGGCAAACTTTGTTCTTGAGCATCTGTGACTTCGTGGACTCTGGGAAATAGGCACCGAAGGCCGTCATTCTTGCAGCGTGTTCACCGCTGCGCGCCTCACTTCCTCCCCCGGCCTCCCTTCCCTGGGCTCCGCCACGCCCCGCTGCTGTTGCTGAGAACCGCGAGGCGGGTGGCTCCGCGCGAGAGCAGGCGGAGGCGGCCGCGCGCGCAGCCTGGACCCGGGAGCTGGGAGCCGGCGGCAGACGAGGCTGGGCAGCCAGCGCTCCGCGGAGCTCAGCGGCGAGCCGGAGACGCACCTGGCCGGCCGTCTCCGGGGTGGCAGCCCAGGCGGGCCGGGACCCAGGCTATGTGGCCGAGCGGTGGCTGAGCGCAGCCCAGATGTGTCAGGAGCCTCGGGTGAGCCTCCCCGCCCGACTCACCCTCCACCCCCGCGCCCAACAGGTGGTGGGAGGCGCGGCTCGGCGGGGCCTGGGTGGGTGCGTTTCTAGCCTCAGTGGGGCGCGGGCGCTCGGGCTTCCTCCTTCACCAAGGCTTCGTTCCTCTGTAAACTCCTGTCCCAACCCACGCCTGTTCCAGCCTTGCCTTGTCGCCTGCCTTTCTGAAATCAGAGCTCTGCTGTGTGTGTGCTGGGGAGAGCGCCCAGGACATATGCTTCCGAAGCGCCCAGGAAGGTTGCTGAGCGCTCCGGCGTGGTGGGAGCGTGATGGGCTGGGTCTGGCAGGGGCGATCGCCAATTCTTACTGAGTCCCTGGGACTTCAACTAAAAGGCACCACGAATGAGACTGAACAGCGGCCAGAAGGTCAAAACCTAAGAGAGGGAGGGGAAGAAAATGGAGGAGGAGTGTTAGGGAGAGAATTAGAGCAAAAGGTGCACCCCCTGCGCCGGGTGCACGCTCCCCCACGTGCGCACGCCCCCAGCCAACCTCCCCGGGAAGCATCTAGTCACTGCAGGGAATTTAAAAAAAAAAAAAAAAAAGGTGGGGGTGAGGGTGGGAGGAATACATCGTCTTAGATCGGAAGGGATTCTGACCAAGTTCCCACCTCCTCAGCTTTCAGAACTTTCCGTTTGTGGCTCCAGTGGGCCGAAGTGAGTTGTCCCCACCTTGTGTTCTGCTGAGTCTGAGTCGTCCCTTCCTCCAGTCGCCTTTCCTTCCTTGTCCCCCAAGAGCTTTCATTCCATCCATGTACTTTCCAGGCTGTGGTCTCAGATGCAAAGTTCGCAGAGTGGACACCTGAGGACAGCTGGACTCTTGGGGACTTGGGACTGTCCTCAGCTGGAACCACCCCTGTCCATCTCCTCTGCCCTGAGCCTCCGCGGTCGGCCACCCATCGCTCTCGCAGATCCTTGGGGCGAGGGGGAGGTGAGCGCCGCCGGGGTGCCCGGAGGAGCGCCCGCCAACCTCCTCCGATCTCAGGAAACCCGGGCTGCCTGCAGGGGCAGCGCCACCCCCTGCGTGGGACTCGGGCGCCCGGTGCACCCCCAACCTGGTAGTCCCCGGAGGCAGCCAGAGCTGGGATGGAGCTGCCTGTGCGCCGCCGGGAGCCCCCGTACTCGCCGGTGGACAGCTGTTCCCTGAGCTCGCTCGAGTCCAGCGTCTTCTGCAGCGAGGGCGAAGGGGAGCCCCTGGCGCTCGGGGACAGCTTCACCGTCAACGTGGGCGGCAGCCGCTTTGTGCTGTCGCAGCAGGCGCTGTCCTGCTTCCCGCACACGCGCCTGGGCAAGCTGGCCGTCGTGGTGGCCTCCTATCGCCGCCCAGGGGCCCTGACCGCCGTGCCCAGCCCCCTGGACTTCTGCGACGACGCCAACCCGGTGGACAATGAGTACTTCTTCGACCGCAGCTCGCAGGCGTTTCGCTATGTCCTGCACTACTACCGCACCGGCCGCCTGCACGTCATGGAGCAGCTGTGCGCCATCTCCTTCCTCCAGGAGATCCAGTACTGGGGCATTGACGAGCTCAGCATCGACTCCTGCTGCAGGGACAGGTAGGACCAGGCGCACAGCAAGGGGCTGGGGAGGTGGGCCCAGGAGGGCACCCGCTGGTCCCCTTCTATGGATTGTGGTGGTGTGTGTCCTGGAGTCAGAACCAACCCATAGCTGACCCTCCAGAGGCTTTTCAGAGGCAATGAATTCATTGCACAGGAGGACCTTGCCCATCCTTCTCCAGAGGACAGCTGGTGGATTCGACCCGCTGCCTTTGACACTGCAGAGCAGCTTCTCACTACGCCACCAGAGCTCGCTAATAGTAGCGTGCCCAAACCATCATGAAATTATACCCTTCTCAACTGAAGGAAAAGATGCTTGGTGCTTCTAGGGAACTCTGAAGGTCTGCTGTATAAGGGGTTGAACTGTGTACACAAAGGCTGCCTGCAGTTCAAATCCACCAATTGTTCCGACGAAGAAAGATGAGTAATCTCCTGTATACAGCGAGGGAGAAGGCCCTCAGTTAATATTTAACAGATCAGTAAAGCAGTGGTCCAAAAGATGTATATATCAGTATGACTGAGGGTGGAGTATTACTACTCAAAACCAGGCTACTTTTTAAAACAGTTGTTTTAAATTGTTTTAAATATGGGAAAACAGTACCAAGTTTGACTCTTGATATATATGTGTCTTTCACGGTGATTTTACTAATTTTGCCATTACTACTATTTTCCCCATGATACGTTTTCTATACACAAAAGGAAGAAAAGTTTTTTTGCTGCAAATGCTTTTCTTATAAAAAAGAAAATAGTAATGTAAATGTGTGAATCTTGGGTAAAAAGTGATCTGGGGTTTGGGGAGGAAAAAAAAGCATTCCTAAATGGAAAATGTTGAACACCAGGAACAGGAAATAGCCTGGGTAAAGCATCTTTGATTATTTTGTGCCTTTTACTGAAAGAAAACTCCCTAGTCTCCCACCCTCATTGATTTCAGAGTCAGAACTGATTCAGAGCTGACCCAGCAGCAGGTTTTCAGAGGCTATTAATTGGGTGCTAGGTGATTACTCATCTTTATCCCGGAGAGCTGCTGGTGGGTTTGAACCAGGCACCACCTTTGTATGTCTCTCTAGGACGACACTCTCAGAGCTTCCCTAGTCTCATGATTAAGTTTCAATCCATTCTGTTACTTCATTCTAAATAATAATAATAATAAAGTTGCACTAATCACTAAATTGTTTTTCTAAAAGATACTTTAGAAGGAAGGAGCTGAGTGAAACTTTAGACTTTAAGAAGGACACAGAAGACCAGGAGAGTCAGCATGAGAGTGAACAGGATTTCTCACAGGGACCCTGCCCTACTGCCCGCCAGAAGCTCTGGAACATCCTGGAGAAACCTGGCTCGTCCACAGCTGCCCGCATCTTTGGGGTCATCTCCATCATCTTTGTAGTGGTGTCCATCATTAACATGGCCCTGATGTCCTCAGAGCTCAGCTGGCTGGACCTGCAGTTACTGGAAATCCTGGAGTACGTGTGCATCAGCTGGTTCACCGGGGAGTTTGTCCTGCGCTTCCTGTGCGTGAGGGACAGGTGCCGCTTCCTGAGGAAAGTGCCCAACATCATAGACCTCCTTGCCATCCTGCCCTTCTACATCACCCTCCTGGTGGAGAGCCTGAGCGGGAGTCAGACCACCCAGGAGCTGGAGAACGTGGGGCGCATCGTCCAGGTGCTGCGGCTGCTCCGGGCACTGCGCATGCTCAAGCTTGGCCGCCACTCCACAGGTAGTCACACTTCCTTGGGGCCTCGTAACCTGCTATTTGTCCATGCATCCATGCTTTGACCACTGTGCTGGGGAAGCAACCCTAACTTTATACTCAGCAGAACCAACTCCCACTCTTGACCCAACTGTTACTTCCAAAGAGCTGGTGGGAATTGAAACCTTGAAGTCCTTGTCATAGGTAGAGAAGGAAAGGTGTCCCTCAATGTTCTTTATCTACTTGAGACATTCTGAAACCATTTGGCCATCGGTTACATTGAATTTATTGGAAACTCATGGCTGAAAGGAAGGTGCTCTGGTGGCCTACTGGCAAGAAGCTGCACTGCAATCTCAAAGTCTCGAAGTTCAAATCCACCAGCTGCTCCATGGAAGTAGGATGGATAATCTGTGTGATTACTGCTTTCTGAAAACCCCCCAGTGGGTCAGCTATGAGTCAGTTCCAACTCGATGGTAAACAACAAGTAGCTGAAAGATGGGTAGAAACTAAGGCATTTTTATCTCTAGAAAGTTCTAGATTTACAAACAGCCCAATTCATAAAAACACACATATTAAGTATAAATGGTATCACTCACTCACTTGTCAGAGTCAGAACCCACTCATAGCTGACCCTCTGCTGGGATTTCAGAGGCTGGGAATCATACTTGCTCATCTTTCTTCCTCTGCTGGTGGATTGGAACCACTTGCCTTTGAATTGGCAGCTCAACCCCTTACCAACTAGGCCACCAGAACCCGATACATAGGACAAACAAGAACATAATTTCTCATCTGTGTCCAAGAAAATGTTTCCACACATAATTCATAAAGGGAAGAAAGAGATGCCAAAAGTTTCCCTTTTTCAGAGGTGACCTAGGCTATGCAAGAAGAGGTGACCAGGTGTTCATGGTCTCCTCAGGACTGTTGAAGAGACACTGGAAATATTTCACTTTGGAAGAAAGTAGGGGACGCTAATTAAATGCTCTATGTAGTTAGTGTCTGAGGATTTTCCTGTACCTTATTTGGAAGGCATGAAAGTGAGTTGGTAAAAGAAATTCCTGGTTTCAATGTATGTCATAGAGTCTTAGAAAAATCTAATGAATTCTTCTCCCCAGGAAAAAAAAAATATCTCCACCCTAACACACCAGCACATACACATACATGTAAGTCATAGTCAAGTTCAGAAGAAATCACTAATTAAAGGGAGACAGAAAGGGATACTTAGTGACTGGCCCAGCTGCTGTGGAACATTCTGACATACTAATGTGGTATTTTATGGAAAACCCTAATGAAAATAGGAATTCCTTGTCATACTTGTTAAAAAAGTTGATTGTTAGTCCCAACCTCCATGTTGGATTTAGTATATGGGGATTGGACTCCAGAGTGTGCATTTTAATAATATCTTAATGGGTTTTGAAATCATTAGGAGACCACACCAGGATATCATATTAGTACAATATATATCCTGTACATAGTTATGCAAACAATAATAATGCAAATAAATTCGCTAGGGAATACTATTCCCCATCTTTCCTCAGATCCATGTTTTGCAGATCACTTTAAAAATTGTGTTAGTTTGTTCTATATAAAAACATCGTGAGAAATTAACCTCAGCCATTCCTCTCTCAATCACTGGTAATGAAGACTTATCCTAATGGAATTTTGGTGGTATACTTTCCCAGCTAGTCTCCCATAGCAGGATTTGATAATGGGGTTCCCGCCAACTTTTAGAAGCAACACTCTTTGTTTTCTGACATATATAATGAAATGCTTTCTTTGAGTATTTATAAACTCGTGAGAGAATTCCATTTCAAAACACCAAGTAAAGACTACATTTTTCCCCAAAAGAAAGGAAAAAGAAAATAATAGTAATTTCAGCAATGTCACCTCTTTTCCAAGATTGCGTTCAGTTCTCAAGCAAGCATAAGGAAAGTATTAATAAAGTCTTAATTTATTAAAAAGACATGAACAGTTCAATTATAGTTACATAAATACTTGACAGTTTTACCTTAAACATAACATTTAGAAAGAAAGGACATAGATAGCATGTCTCTCCTTATAATAATTGCTTTGAAAAATGTGAGAGCTATTATAGAAAATCTATCAGAAAGCAAGATAATCTACATTTACATTCTAATTCCATGGCTTTGTACTGATATACTACTTTTCTGTATCTCAGTCTCCATTTATGTAAAATGACATCTATTTCATCTGATTATTTTGAGGGTGCTGTCACATATTAGAAATTCAGAACACAGCTTTTGTGTTTCTTAACAAAATTGCTTAGAACATTTCATTATGAAGTGAAAGGAACCCTCCCTGACATATGCTCCAAGTCTTCTCATGTATTGCCACTTTATCTAAGAAATGAAATTCAGCATAGACACATCAAAGTCATATTTAAAAAGGTATTCGAAAACATCCTCTTTGGAGATTAAACTTCAAAATTAATATTCATTGATCTATAAAAATAGCTGGTTAATAACTTAAGAATATGTCAATTGTGAAAAGCAAAATTCAAAGTGAGAACAGATAGCACTTTAACGCATTTTAAGTAGCCTTCAGTGAGAGAATAAAATTAAAGACTTATCCTAAGAGACCCTGTTTTGCACTTTTGAGAAAGCATCATTGTTATGTCATACTGCCATTACTTCAAAATCTGATTGAACTTTTAGAATTATCTGTATTATGCTTGTAGAATATTTTATTATTCATTCAAATCCTAATCATGTAAAGGGCTACTGTTTCTCCCATCATACGCTGGCTTCATCCCGTCATAGATAGAATTAAAATACCTTTGGTTTATCTCTCAGGATCTCAGAGAATCCTAAGAAAAAGCAAGGGAAAATTCAGTAATTCTTCGTAAATGAATGAGTTCTTTTAGGTGACTCCACTATCCTAGACCTGTTTGTAAGGCAGAAATATTCTATATTTAGGCTTATCTCCTTGCAGGAAGGAAAAAATGTTCTGTACTTAAAAAGATGCTCCCCTAGTTTTCATATTAAGGCTTAGAACTTCAGTGGTACCGGAGATATCCAGGGCCGTCCCCTGAGAACAGCCTTCAACTACATATGGTGTCCTCAAGTCAACGTCTCTTAACTAATTTGCTTGCCTTGCTTCCCACATTCTCAGAGTTTTCATGATTTCAGATGGCCGGGCCTGCAATTTTGTTAAACTCTATAAAGAAAGAGAAATCATATATATATATATATCCCTATGAACAAAAGGCCTGAAGCCTTTCTATAACTATCAACATTTATCAAAGTTCATAGAGTTTCCAGAGGCATGTTGTTTAGGAAGTGGATGCCACTTCCTATGTATGTGTGTGTGTGTGTGTGTGTGTGTGTGTGTGTGTGTGTATAAAATATATCAATGTACTAGCGTTGTTAAGTGTCATCAAGTCGCAGGGAATTCATAGTGACCTTATGAAGGAGAGTCCTCAATGCTTGTGTGTCTTTCATCCTCTCTCCAGGTTTATACTAGCATTGTTGTTGTTGTTATGTGCCATCAACTCACTTGTGACTCATAGTGACCCTATGTACAAGAGCCCTAAATGCTGTCCTGTCCTGTGCCAACCTCACCGTCTCAAACACACTCACTCCCACCACTCCACTCATAGAATCGATCCATCTCATCGAGGGTCTTCCTCTCCTGTGCCATCCCTCCACTCTCCCAAACATGATGTCCCTCTCCAAGGACCAGTCCCTCCTTTCAACATGCCCAAAGTATGTCAGACGAAGCTTCAGAATCCTTGACTCCAAGGAGTATTATGGCTTCACCCTCTCCAGGACAAAACTGTTTGTTCTCCTAGTAGTCCATGGTATATTCAACACTCTTCTCCAGCACCACAGCTCAAAGGCATCAATTCTCCTTCTGTCATCTCTATTCACTGTCCAACTCTCTGATGCATAGAACGTAATTGCAGAGACTATAGCCTGGGTCAGGCACACCTTAGACTCCAGCCTGACATCATTTCTCTTCAGTACTATTGAGAGGTCCCTCACAGCTGACTTTCCCAATGCAATTTGTCTCCTGATTTCCTGGCTGCTGTTACCAAGAGTGTTGACTGTGGAACCAACTAAACTAAAACTGTTAACTATCTTAATCTCTTCACCATCCATATTGATGCTGCCAATTGGCCTGGCATTAGAGTGACAAAATGAAATACAGGTCAACCAAGTAAGCCTCTCTATAAATGTCTACTATTTCAAACTTCACATATAGGCCCTCTGTTCATTTCTAAGTCTTACCCATCATGTGATAGCTAGATATATACAGAGAGAGAGAGAGAGAAGAAAGATAGGTAGGTAGGTAGGTAGGTAGGTATATAAATGAACACATGTATATAAACACACAAACATACATACACGTCATTGCTAGAGACTGTCTAGTTAGACTAAAGGTGATAGAAGAAGAAATGATGCCTTTGAGTTGTGGTGCTGGAGAAGAGTCTTAAACATACCAAGGACCGCCAAGAAAACAAATATGTCTGTCTTAGAGACGGTGAAACCAAGTTTATCCTTGAAGGCTGGGATTTTGAAGTTCCATCTTACATACTTTGGTAATGTGGCAATGAGGGACCATTCCTTGGAGAAGGACATCATGTTTGGAAGGGTGGAGGGACAGCACAGGAGAGAAAGACCCCAGATGAGATGGATTGATACAGTGACTAGGACAATGGGTGTAGGTGTGTCAGGGTCAGTGAGACTGGCTCAGGACTGGACAAGGTTCGGAGCTATTGTACATAGGGTCGCTATGAGTTACAGGCAGCTCAATGGCACATAATAACAGTTCCATCTCAGAGTAACTTCACAAGTCACTGTTTAGTCTTCCACTAGCCTCACAATAATTTTTATGTTTAAGCCCATTGTTGTCACCACTGCGTCAGTTCCATCTCATTGAGTGTTTTCTTTTTCACTGAAGCATGAAGTCCTTCTCTAGGAACTCTGCATAATGTGTTCAAAGTACATGAGGCAAAAAGTCTCATCCTACTCATGTCTTAGGAGCATTCTGGCGGTATTTCTTTCAAAACAGATTTGTTCATCCTTCTAACAGGCCAAAGTATCTTCAGCATTTCTCACCAACACCATAACCCAAAGACATCATTTCAGTTGTTCACTGCCCAATTTTCACATGCATATGAGGCAATTGAAAATAGCATGGTGTGGGTAAAGCATTCCTTAGTCCCCAGAGTGACACCTTCACTTTCTGTCACATTAAAGAAATCCTTCACAGATTTTCCCAATATAATACATTGTTTCATAACACATTTCCATTGGTGTTGATTGTGGGGACCAAAAAAAATGGAAGTCTTTGACTTTTTTCTACTTGAAAGGGTGTTGTTTATTAGTCCAGTTATGTGGATTTTTGTTTTAAGATGAATCCTTACTGGAGGCCATAGTCTTTGATCTGCCCCAGTAAATGCTTCAAGTCTTGGTCTTCTTGATTTTCAGCAAATAAGATTATATAATTTGCATATCACAGGTTGTTAATTAGTTCTTCCTCTGATCCTGATGTAACATTCTTCTTCATATAGTCATATGCACGTATGTGTGTATGTGACACACACATATACAGATATGTCTTTTTATTACCTTAATAAATATTTAAGTTAGTGAATGAATCTATGGATGCTACACGGCCCTATCAATTAGTCATTGAGCTTTGGAAAGAAAAGAAATGATGTTATCTTGAAGCCTCAGAACTTTTTCCGGTACTGAGACCATGTTAAGCATGTCATTCACGTTCATGCAGGGAGGGAGGGAAAATGAGAAGGAAAGAAAGAGTCCAACTGCCAGTAACTAACAGCACTCGCTCTGTTCCAGGTTTACGCTCCCTTGGAATGACAATCACCCAGTGCTACGAAGAGGTCGGCCTGCTGCTCCTGTTCCTGTCTGTGGGAATTTCCATATTTTCAACTGTGGAGTATTTTGCCGAGCAAAGCATTCCCGACACAACCTTTACAAGTGTCCCTTGTGCATGGTGGTGGGCTACAACATCCATGACTACCGTGGGGTATGGAGACATTAGACCGGACACCACCACAGGCAAAATCGTGGCCTTTATGTGTATATTATCCGGAATCCTTGTCTTGGCCTTGCCCATTGCTATTATCAATGACCGCTTCTCTGCTTGCTACTTTACCTTGAAACTGAGGGAAGCGGCTGCGAGGCAGCGTGAAGCTCTAAAGAAGCTTACCAAGAACATAGCCACTGACTCCTACATCAGTGTTAACTTGAGAGATGTCTATGCTCGGAGTATCATGGAGATGCTCCGACTAAAAGGGCGAGAGCGAGCAAGTACGAGGAGCAGTGCAGGAGACGATTTCTGGTTTTGACCTCACCTTGGATTTAATTCTTAAAGCTTGTCTAAGATTAACTCCATTGATAAAAGACTTGCTATGATGTCTCTTTATGTCCCTGAGTCATTTTTGAGCACTACCTGTCTTAAGTTTTGCTGATGTATTGCTTAATGTACTAGAGTAATTCACATCCTCTTTAACAGCTACAAAGACATTTTCTCAGAATGTAATGAATATATTTTCCCAAGTGATTAATAATATCTTAACACAATCAAGTACAGTGGGACCAGTACACACATACTTGAATTTCAAAAGTGAAATATCATTGTAATACAGAAAATTAAAAAGTGTAATGAATCACTAATTTTAAAAGTTTTTGCCCTGTTCATTGTTTTTTAAAAAAGAAGCTCAATTATATAGTCCTGAGTAAAGATGAGTTACCATTTAAGAATGCAGAGAAACGATGCTACGTAAAGATATTCCTCAAGTAAATACATTATTACTCTTTATGAGTTAATGTCAAATAAATTACTTTTGTACAGAGAAAGCCCAGATTTAATGCTCATAGATGTCATCCCTACCTTCTATTTGTTGTTTTTATTGTGCACCATTGACTCAGAAGTAATCCAGAGCTAACCCTCCAGCATGTTTTCAGAAGCAGTAAATCCCATGGAGGAGACTGGTCATATTTCTGCCAGGAAGCAGTTGATGGATCTGAACCATGAACCTTTGCATTGGCAGCATAAGGAGGTGAGCTGCCAGAGCAAAGTCACGGGGTTCAAATCCTCCAGCTGCTCTATAGGAGAAAGAAGGATAATCTCCTCTTGTACAACTGACTGCCTGACTGCCTCTGAAAACTCACGCTGAGGGCCAGGATGAGCGGATAACAACAGTAAGCCGCCAGAGCTCCCTATCTTCTATTGATCTCATAAGTAATAGACCGAACAAAGCCCTCTGAAGTCCATCACCACCATGGGAAGTCAAACTCACTGGTATCGAGCTGGTTCCAACTCATAGCATCCCATCATTGGGTTTCTGAGACTGTAAATCATAGCTGAAAGAGACTATCCATCTTTCTGCTGGGACGCATCTGGAAAGTTGAGCTGCCAAAAGCTCCCTGAGGGTTTGCAGTGTAAAACGCTCCGGGCTGCCCTCAGAGGTCTCTGTAGTGGGCAGTGGAGCTCCCTGAGGTTTAGCAGGGTAAAACCCTCCGGGCTGCTGTCAGAGGTCTCTGTCGTGGGCAATGGAGCTCCCTGAGGGTTTGCAGTGTAAAACTCTCCGGGCTGCTGTCAGAGGTCTCTGTCGTGGGCAGTGGAGCTCCCTGAGGGTTAGCAGGGTAAAACGCTCCGAGCGGCCATCAGAGGTCTCTGTTGTGAGCAATGGAGCTCCCTGAGGTTTAGCAGGGTAAAACGCTCTGGGCTGCAGTCAGAGGTCTCTGTCGTGGGCAATGGATAGCCCCGAACTGCTAGGACTGGAGAAGACGAATAGTGCACTCAGCATTGAGGAATAACACCTCTTCACTCATCCCACAAGAAGCTCTGGTGGTATAAGGTTAAACATTGAGCTGCTAACCAACAGTGTTGGTTCAAAAGCACTCAGACTGCACAAATGAAAGACCAAGAAAAATTCTCCCCAAAACAGTACAGTACAGCCAGCCAGCCTCCAAACCCCGATGGTGTAATTTCACTCTGATGTATTGGGTCGCTTTATTAACTATATTGGGTCGTTGAAATGAACTAGATGGCACCTAACAACATTCATCCCACCCCACTGAGTGCACGATATTCAGCACGCTTCTCAGTACTCCATGGAAACCAGATGGCCTTTAAAATATGCCTTTATAGATATACTGTACAAGCTATCTTTAATGTCATGAATGTAGAAAGATGACATAGTCTAAATAGTGAACAGTCTGAATTTATAGCCTGACACACATGGCTGCACAGAATAGTTGGACAGATTTTTTTATTATTGTTGCAAATGCAAAATGTCAGATGAGATAGTCACTAAGAAATAGTGTACTTAAATTAGTTAATAGCCAGATTTCATTAACAAAGAATGATAAGATGATTGACACCACTAGATGAACTTGAAGATCTTTTTTAATAATAGAAAATATTATGGACAGCTTTCTGAGTGTTGAGGGTAAATAGCAAATGCTTCAACTTTGTAGACATTGTAACAGCATTTTGACATTCCTTCATAATAAGTTTAACAATGGTAGGCTTTCTGTTACAAAATTAAAGCCAGAAACGATAAGACTAGGTACTAGTTTATGGTGTCCAATATTCTAGTAATGAGATTTTTAAAAATAAAAGATAAAAAAGGAATGCACCACTTTAATGCATGAATTGTCCGTGAAGACAGTGTGGCTCTAAAGGGAAGAGAAAATGCTCTTTGCAGAGGGGGACAGAGGCAATAAAAATATCTTTCATGTATAAAATAGAGACATACATTCAACATATATACATTTACTCAGTGTGTCTGTGGTATTAAAATTTCATAAAGTGGCCAATTAGGAAAAAAAGCCTAAAAAGATCCCTTGGGTGAATAATTAGGAAACACTGCTTTAAAATATAGCTATTTCATTTATCATCAGAACTAGGTTCCAAGACACCTATTCAATTAGGAATCTCCACAAAGGAAAAAAAAGTACCAATTCATTGTGAGTTGTTGTTGATGCATCCAGATTTTATATGTGAAAATTGTAACCAGTGATATTATAAAAATTATAAAATTATAACCAGTGACATTCCATCCCATATGCACTACCTCCTGTGGTTCTGGTATTCAAACTCTGCAAATATTTTTATTTTATTGATGAGTTGTAGACTGTATGCTCAAGTACTTAAAGCCACTCAGCGTGTTTCCAGTTCCCCTAAATATTATGAGAAATTTAGGAGATATAAGTTGTAATAAAATAAATATTTTCCATGTTACACATATTCACAGTGCTAGAGCGTGACACGGAGGCACTTCTTGTTAGATGCCATCGAGTCATGTTTGACTCATAGTGACCTTATGAATGATAGACCCGAATCCTCTCCTTTCTTGTGCCATCCCTGTCATCTCCGACACACTTGAGCCCAGTGTCGCAGACATCCTGTCAATGCATCTCGTTAGCTCCACTAAAAAGCCCAACAGCCTGAAGAGGAAGTAGACGTTAAGCACAGAAGGAAAATTACACTGGTTTTCCCCAATAAGGAGTCATTGCGTTCTCTAATCAATCCTGCTTGCACCGTACTCATCAAACATTAGCTCCCAATACCTTCAAAATACTCCTGCTTTATGATAATTAGGACTTCTGGTGGCCTAGTGGTAAGGAGCTGTGCTGCCAACCCAGAGGCATGTAGTTCAAATCCACCAACTGCTCCGTGCAAGGAAGATGAAGCCCCCTGATAGCTTAGGTTGGGCATAATTTTGAAGGAAGGGGTGAGGGTGAGGAAAGAGGGGGAGGAGACATTTCTTTCTAGAAGAACATAATCTTAAAACTGAAGTGTTTTTTTTAAAAAGAAGACATTGAAAGTTATGAGAACTTATCCAAATTCACACAGCTAATTGTTGGCCGAATCAAGACCAAACTACAGTCTTTCTGATCCTGAAATTGATATTCCTGAGTTTTAAGATCTCTTTCCTCCACAGAGCCTTTACAAAGGAATTCACAAGTTGACTTCTTGAGGATGGAGAGGTTTAAAGTACCTGAAGAAAAAGACTGACTCCTTCTCAAAGGCAGAAGGTGTTTTAAGGAATTTTAAGTCATAATTATACACACACAAAAGTATTACCCTTAGAACAATTAGTATTTTAAAGTGAAGATAAATATAAACACATTTTGTTTCTACCATTGAGGATTTTAACTTTGTTGTTATTATGTGCCGTCGAGTCTCTTGCGACTCATAGCAACCCTATGAACAACAGCTCTAAACTCTGCTCTGTCCTGTGTCAATCTCACTGTCTCAGACACAGTCATTCCGATTGCCCCAATCACTGAATCAATCCATCTCC